ACCCCAGGAAGGCAGCTTGAACTTTAACCCCAAACTATACCGCCACCATGTCCTGTGCCCACATCAGAGATGCATAAAAGCTACAAAAACCTTGGTCACTGTGTCCACTCACTTGGGGGCACTCAGGGACAGGCTCTGTTCCAAGTGCTGAGATCAAGGGCCAGGTGGGGGCTCCCCCAGTCTCTGCCTCCCCGCTGCCCTGACCGTGCCTTCTCACCTTACACGGAGAGGGGCCACCCTGGGTGGGGGAGGGGGGATGAGAACCCAGGGCCCCACAGGGGGTTGGGCACAGAGTAAATGAGAGGGAGAGACCAGGGCCCCCCTCACACTCACCCATCCATAGAAATGGGACTCTCTAGCCCTGGGCAGACAGAGCCTGCACTGTGGCCAGGGGTCGGGGGGACATGTGGAGTCCTGCCACAGTGCTTTGCCACAAAAGACGTTTTTTGTTGTTGTCTGAAGGAAGAGAAACACAGACCCTTTGGGGACAGGGAGGAGTAGAGGGACAAGAAGCTGCCACACATTAGTACAAACATTACTTTGGTGTCCAGACAGTAATTCAGAGAGGCAGAGCAGCACCCGCAGGAGGGGGGGCGGGGCGGGCCAGAGGCTGATAGACTTCAGGGGAGGCGACAGGGACTGCAAAGCTCAGCTGGCCACAGCCCAGATTCAGCCTAGGTAAGGCCCAGGCCGGCGTGTTAGGTGGTGGTGGTCAGGCCAGGTCTGACGGCAGAACTCCCGGAGATGAGGGATTCCAGGAAACCCAGGTGGCCAGTCACCCAAGTGACTGGACGGCCACTTGTCCCACCCCAAGAGCCCCAGTGGACACCGCAAGCCAGCACTGCAGGTGTTGAAGGGGACTCAGTCCCCTTGGCCAGGCTGCATAGGTGGGCCTGATGGGGGGACAGGCTGGGGGACCAAAGCTCCCTCCTGTGGGGGCGGCAGGAAGCAGCTCTCTTGCCAGACCTTCCTCCCTGCCTCCCAGCAGGAGGGAGGGGGCAGCCCCCCATCAGGTCCCAGCCCAGGTGCAGAACGCCTGATGGGAGCCCCTGTGCAGCGGCTCCAAGCCCAAGTTCAGCCCCCCCTCGGCAGCCATGTCTCTGACGGGGGTCTGGTGGAGAAGGGACGAGGCGTCCCCCAGGGGCTCCATCAACCTCATGTTGCAGATTCTCCAGCAGAGCCTGCAGCAGGGGAGGGGGCCTCAGAAGCAGACCAAGGTCAGGGAGGGCTCAGGCCGGGTCCCGGGAGGGGTGGGACGTCACTCACTAGCCACCACAAGGAGCTCAGTCCAAGGGCTGGCTGGCCGGGCACTAAGCAGTGCAGCACCCGGGGGGGAAGTTCGCCCTGGCCTGGCTCTGCACTTGGGCTTCTGCTCAGAACCACGGGCAGCTGGACACTAGCCTGACCAAGGGGTGGTCAGGTGGGGCACCTAGGAGGCAGGGGAGGCTGAGCCTAAGGAAGGTCCAACCACAGGGGCCAAGAACTTAAGCAGATGAGCCGCCATTGGTGACCCTCCTTGCCTTGGGGCAGATCCTGGGACATGTAAGCCAGGTCCTTGACCCTGCGGCAGAGCCCCCAACCCGACTTGGTGTCCAGGAGGCCTCCCTCCTCCCAGTTCTGCCCCTGCCCTGGCCACCAGGAAGGACACCCTTGCTATCCCAAAGCCGTAGGAAGGCCAGGCGCTGTACCTGCTTTTCCGGGGGATTATGGAAAGAGCCTTCAGGTCCATGGGGAGGCAGCTAGTTCTATGGAGAGGCAGCTGGGATAAGGGCCTTCTTTGCAGAAGGGAGGCTCCCCAGAGGTGGATCCCTGGGACACTGCCTTACGCTGCCTCTCTTCTACAGACCTTCAAAGCCAGGCCCCTCTCTTCCCAGCCCACGACCCAGACAGCCGGCATGGCTTATTCTCCTTACTGCCAGGCTGATGGGCCAGGGGTTTGTCAGAGGAGCGAGTAGGTGTCGGGCAGCAGCCAGAACTGGGCCACACTGGGAACCTCCAACGTGGTCTCTGTCCTGCAGTTCGGGGCCACCAATTCTAAGAGACCCAAGTCCCAGGTCAGGGCTGGAGCCAGACTCCCCCATGTGTAGGGAACACAGCTGGGTGAGACCCACACCACTCAGGCTTCCCTGGAGTTCTGGGCCTGCTGGCCAGCCAGGAAGATGAACGCAGTCTCTGCTGAAGGGTGGGACCCGGCCTGCTTCTCTGGTAAGAGCCTCTGACCCTGTTGGCCAGATGCCAGAGCTGGGAGCCCAGCCACCCAGAGGGAAAGAGGGACCTGTAGTCTCCAAGTCCACAGCCCCTCCCACCCAATTGGGCATTTGCCGAAGGGGTGCAGACAGCTGGCACGCCTCCCAACTGGCTGAGGCCTACGACACCCTCGGTGACAGCCCTGCCCCAGCTCACCCTGAGGAGCCAGGGCCTGGTGCTAAGCAGCCTCTCTGCTTGAGAAGAAGTCTATACTTTTGCCCAGGGCCTTAGGGGTCCAGGCTGGGGAAGGGCCACCAGCCAGAAAGGAGGGGGCTGTGGGGGCATGGCTGACCTGAGGTCTTGGTGTGGGTCCCCCAGTAATCATGGGCTTTGGCAGCCCCTTCCCTGTGCCCAGGGCTATTCTTCTCTGGAAGCAGATGGGGGGGTCCTCATCAGAGGGCACCAGGTCATGGGGGGATGAGGGCACAGGGGACAATGCAGCAGCAAGGAAGCCCCAGAGCCCACAGGCTGGAGAGCTTGTGACTCCCCTCAGTCAGCACCCAAGGCTTCCTCAGCCCTGTCTGAAAGGGCAGCCAGCTGAGCTGGGGGGCTGAAGACACCACCCCCCATCTCCAGCAGGGGAGCCGTGGGGTCAGTCAGTCAGGTCACAGCAGGTCCAGCTGTGTCTCCAAGGAGTTTAGGGGAGACCTGGTCCCCGGAGCCTAACCATCTTAGTGAGAACAAGGAAGATCATCAGGGGAGGACTACTGGGACCTCACCCTGACATCGCCCTGCTCTGGGGCCACCCCACACCCCAGTGCACAACCTCAGTCAGCCCCTCCCAGGCTCAGCTCGTTTTGAGGGGCAAACCAGTTGGCCCCCAAGGCTTCTATGCTGGACAGAGAGCCGGCAGGGCCTCACCTGAGCTCCCCATTAGCCTGGGGCAAGAGATGGAGCTGCGGGCCTCCAGCAGGGCCACCTGGGCAGTATCCCAACTGAGGAAAGGTCACGACTTGCAGCCCTAACTAGACGTTTCCCCACCTGTAACCTAAGTGAATCACCCACATGGGTGCATTTGAATTGTGCGGGAGAAGGATATTCAAAGTACCACGGACTGCTAAAAGGACGAGCCAATGTGTCAGAAGCATTGCCGGGGTTCCTTAAAGGCAAGGAGGGTGAAATTTGGCTTGCCAACTTTGAACGTGTCAGACCAGTCCCTGGAGCAGGACATCATGTTCTGCAGAGGGGCCATGAAAACGGGGAGGCCTTGGGGTTGACAGTGGCTGCAGCAATGGGCTGACAACGCTGAGGGTGCTACAGGACCAGCCAGGGTTCGTGCTGCAGTGCTAGGGTCGATGGGGGTCAGAGCTGCCTTAATGGCACCTAAGCACCCCCACCACCCCCAGGAGGGGCACGGCTCGAAGTGATTCTTGGACCCCTGGCTGTGCAAGCCTGGTGGGGCCAAGGCACATCTACCAGGTGACTGAGAAGCCAGCCAAGCAGGGTGAGGGGAGCCCTCCGCCAGGCGCCCTGAGGGAGGTGGGCCTAGCACGTTCAGCCCCCACCCCAGCTTTCCCTTCGCAGCACCTTAACCGTCACCACTGCCATGGAAGGCAAGAACAGGCTGTGAGAAGCCCGGTGTAGTGAGTTGACTGGGAATCGGGGCTCTGGGCAGTGCTCCCCAGCTGGAGCTCGGGGACTCAGAGTGGCATTCTCGGGGTGGACCTGGTGCTCCCCCGTTGGGGTCTGGCCCGCACAGCAGCCACCGGGTTTGTTACCACAGGTCCTCTGGACTAGTGGACCCAGAGACATGGGTGCCCAGGAGGCCTCAGGCCAAGTCCTGTCATCTTGGGCCAGGAGTGCCTGGCAGGTAGTGGGGCAAAGGTGTGTGTGTAGGGGGGACGGACGGACGGGACAGGTGGCCTCCTCCCTAGTGTTGTTGGGAGTTCTGGCTTATTGCAGCTTACAGCCACAGCCCACCTCCTCAGGTTGAGCTTTGAGATGGAAGGTAGATTTACAAGTCCCCTCGCCCCCACCCCGCCCTTTCCTTCCTTGAGTCCTGAACCCTGGGCACTCCCGTTACCAAAGCGCCATGCTCTCTGCCCGGGCCTCACTTGACACTCAGCTTGTTTGCCGAGTCCAGTCCGGGCATCGCCTCTTGGGGGCCCCAGCCCTCTCCCTAGACCAGGGTCCTTCCCCGAGCTTCACAGCCCCAGCCGTCCTGGCAGTGAAAGGGACTTCTGCCTGTCCCATCCATGGGCCAGAATCCCTCTTGGGGTGTCTGGTCAGGGTAGAGGGTGGTGGTGGCAGTGGTGCCCCCCCCCCCATCCTGGCCCAGTGCAGGTTGGCGGTCGGGTGGGTGGGGAGGGAGGGCTCAGCAGGACCCACAGTCATGGACAGGCCAGGCAGGCCTGACAAGCACATACTGACTGGCTCCTGGCCCAGGTGGGAAACCACCTTGAAGACCAACTTCTGAGGGAGTGAAGGCCAGGGGAAGGAGCCAGCCTCCCAGCTCAGTGGGGATGGAGTGAGCTGTCTATCACCAGGAGGCAGGGTCACCAGTGTGGGGTGGGCACTGACCTTGGCAGGCCTCCTCCTTGGGTCTGGTGACCAACCTTTCCCACTGGGCTGGAGGCCCCCAGGAGGCTCAGCAGAGCCCGGACATTGCCAGCCAGCAAAAGAAGGGTCCGCATGCCCAAATCTAGCGGCACAAACTCCCTGGAGACCCTCACTGCCTCCAGGGGTCCCAAGGAGCTGCTGTGAGATCCACAGCTCAGGACCCTGCCCACACTCACAACAGCGCCAGGCCCTGGTTTCAAAAACAACCAAAATGTTTTAATGGCCTGCCTCCAGGGCCCACAGCCTTACACAAACTCCACCTAGCCTTGGGTTCAGCCAGCCAGGAGGGAGTCCACAGCAGGCTGGACAGAGCAGTGACGCTAGGGGGACTGGGGGGGGCGGGGACGGGACACATGTCCCCACATCTTCAGAGACCTAGGCCTGAATTGTTACTTAACCTGTCCCTCCAGTGCCATTGATTTAGGACAGGCTTGGGAACAGAGGCCCCGAGAAAGGAGGCCAACCCCAGGCTCCAGGTGTGGGGGCAGGGAAGGACAGGCAGGGGGTTAGGTCCAACCCCAAACTTGGGGACTGTAAGCCGGAGCTTTCCTGGGAGATGACTCCAGGTGTGCCTCACACGCTGGACAACGTACCGCTATCAGAGACTAAGTCCTGGGACACAAGGGTTCTGCTCTCCTGCCAGCACCAGGCCCGGCAGAGATGGAGCCGAGACCGAACTGTGCTGGGTGTGCGTCAGGCGCCGTCCCCACAACCCTGCGAGGTAGGTTGCGTTGTTCTATTTTACAAAAGGAGGAGGGTGAGCCTGGGGCCCACAAGAGGAGCAGTGACCCCACCCCCAGGTCACACACCCAGCAAGGGGTGGAGGAGCCGGGCGGGACTTGGGCTCACAGCTTCTTCAGAAGCACAAGGGTGGAAGGATGTGCTCTTCTGAGAGAACCTCGTGTGAACCTCCGCCCAGACTGGCGCTGTTTCCCCCTGACCCTGGGGAGCTGGGCAGACTGAGGGAGGGGTGCACTGAGCCCCTAGACAGCCAGTGGCCTGCACAGCACCAGCAATCCATGCTATGCGTGGTGGCCCTGGTCCCCCAACAGCTGGGGGTGATTTGAAAGCCGGTCTGGTCCCTGGACCTTGTGGCCCCACGTGGGCAGTGCCAGGCCGTTGAGCCAGGCGGTCTCCAGCAGGCTGCGGAAGCGGGACTTCAGTGTGGAGCCGGACGTGCTGGTGCCGATGGCTGCGGGGGGCGAGGCGCCGCGGGACCACCCTTCAACAGCGGCCTCTGTCTTCTCCAGACCAGGGATTGGTGGCTTCCTTCCCAGCTTCTTAGCCTTGGGGGCCGGTGACTTCCGAGCCAGGGCGAGGCTGTCGGGCTCTCCTCTGGCCATGGGGAGTCCTGAGGGGGGCACAGCTCCAGCCTCCGTGTCAAAGTGACCTGGGAAACGCACACAGGGTCAGGCTGCAACCGACGCACTGCCATCCAGACTCTTGGCTCTGTCTGCCTGAGGGCAGAATGCTACCGACGGGCCCGTTACCACAGTCGGTCCTCCCATGTGCCCTCGGATCTGGCTTTCCAGAACCCATGTCCCAAGAGGAGAGGGAAGGAAGGGGCCCAACAGGCCAGGAGCCACTCACACTAGGTGACTGACTCTCGGCCATCCTGCAGGGGCGAGGGGGCAGGGGACTACCCGCCACGGGGCCTTCAGGGCTGCCTGCATTCTAGGAAGCAGGTCGCCAGGCCTCTCTGTCAAAGCGCTGCGGGTGGGCGCAAACCTCCCACTTCCAGGCTGGCAGCCATGCCCAGTGCATGCCATCTGCACTGCCCAGAGGTTCCTAGGACCTTCAGCCGGGGCCAAGGGCCCGCTGCACAGAGCAGGGAAACTGAGGCACAGAGTTAAGACCCCAGACAGGGTCTGTCTGGCACTGCCCAGAGGGAGCAACAGAGAAAAGGGAGGGGGTCCCTGGCCCAGAATACACCTACTTTGAAGGGACGCTGCCCGGGGGCGCACAGGAACCTGTAAGAAACAAAGTTGGGGATGACTTGATACCAGCCCTTGAAGCTCAGGGAGGGCAGCCTGAGGCAGGTGCCCCAGCCACCTCCTTACTGGACGGTCCTTCCCCATAGGTGCAGGGAGGGACAGGACTGAGCTGGGCCTCCTGAAGCCCGACCCCACCTCCACCCCACCCCCGTTTATTCCTCACACCGTTTCTGTAGTCTCTGCAGCCCCCAACTGGGCATCTGTTCCAACTTCCTAAGTGGCCCAGGTTCTGGCCAGCTGGCACCCAAGTTCCCCCTGTACCTACAGTCTCGGGCCTTGGGCAGGTAGGAGCCCAGGGTTAGGTCACCAGGTGGAGAAGGAACTAAGGACACTTCCTGCCGAGAGGAAAGGGTGTGTGGGAGCAGGGGTGGCCAGGAGAGACAGTGGGGATGGGGACTTGGGGAGCCAGGGGACAGACACGACCCCAAGCCCCCCGAGTCGACTCAGACGTGCATGCAAGGCTGAATGTACCCAACGTGGATCCTCCTACTGAAGTTCAATGGAGCCCAGTCAAGTGAGAAATCAAGCTGTGGTGGCTCAGGGAGGAACGGCACCCCCATAGCCTCCTCACACTGGCAGTGTTGGGGGTGCTGGGTCACTGGGGCATTGATGAGGATTACGGTGCAACCGACTGAGACCCCAGAGGGATGGGTTGACAAGGCTGAGCTTCGCTGTTTGTATGGGTTTTTGACTTCCTGCTTGTATTTGCTTCTTTCTTTCTTTCTTTCTCTCTCTCTCTCTTTCTTTCTTCCTGGCTGTGTGTTGTTTGGCTGCTGGTTAGCGGATGGCTGCGCTAGACGCAGCTGATCTTACAGTGTTGTGATTTTGACAGATTGCGATCGCCCAAGTAAACCTGAGACATGCAAACCCCATGGACAGAGCCTGGACTCCTCCTTAAATGAACTAGCCCCAACCCAAGAACACTTAGTTCTGATCACATGGCCCTGGTTCGTGAAATGATCACTTAAGATAATGGTGCTACAGCAAAGCGTGGTGAAGAAAGCAGATGGTGCCCGGCTATTAATCAGAATAGTGTCTGGGGTCTTCAAGGCTTGTATTGAAAACAAGCAGCCATCTAATGGAGGTGTCCACTAAGTCCACACAGAAGAAGCACACCAGCTTGTGTGATCCAAAGATGACAATTACAAAATTCTAATATGATGAAGGGAAAAGTATCAGCTAAAATTATGAACCCCCAATTTGTAGAAGGCTACGGAGGACAGGGGGAGCCCCAAATCCATCTGCAGAGTATCTTATTCAGACTGAGCCACTGGCAGTTCTCGCCACAGGCAAGCGTCTCCAACAGCCTTGCAATCAGAGTCTAGTGCAATCTTGATTGTGTTGAATCAAACTTCATACTCGGCCAGTTACTTCCCCCCGGACTGGATCGGAATTGGTTCTGGGTGCAAGTCTCTCTCACTTGTTCTGTGACCGACATTTCTTTCTTTTTCTCTCTCTCACACACACACACACACACACACACACACACACACACAGCTGGCTGCACCCAAACCACTGACTCAGCCCAACAGACATTTCTTCTCTGGCTTTTTGAATGTTGACGGGAGTCTTTTCCTTCGGACTCATTATTTGTATTTTCGTATTTCTATTATTACTGTATCCTGACCACCGTATAGCGACTGGTTTTGATTGTGGCCGTGGGGTTTCCCAGTTAGTGAAGCACAGGAGGGGTGGATGCACAGAGACAATAATGGATACGAGGGTTGATAGGGGATGCTGGGTTGGGTGCGGGGTGATAGGGAGGGTAAGGGGATTTCAAGAGTAAACAATGAAGGCAAGAGGGGGTAGGGAGCACTCTGATTGTGATTGCACAACTCATTTTAAAGGCGATTTAATGGGAGGGGGGTGCGCACGGGGGGGTGGGGTGGGGTGGTGGTGGTGAGAATATTCTACATTTGACGTGGTAATGATGGTATTAAGTCTCCTTGATCTGATTGAATGATCGAAGGGTTGAGTTGTATGATACGTAAATTACGTGCTAATAAAACTGTTTTTTTTTTAATGTCGAGTGTGAAATGATGATCTATCTGCTCTAACCGGAGAACAGGATGGATGTGAACTTAGGGCAGAGAAAACACACTGGGAACCGATGGCAGCCCTGTTACACGATAGCTGAGTCAAAGAGGAGGCTGTCCACTCACATACATATTAAGGACAGTGCTCTCTGCCCTACAGGAGGACTCAGGAGTCACGAAGGACTTCGAGGCAGGAGGTTTGTTTCTGTAGTTTGTGTGTGCACATGTGTGTGCACATGTGTGTGCTCTGGAGACTGAATTGGGCAACCCTGTTTGGGAACAGGGTTTTCTTTGTGAGGTTGATGTGTGGGGCCCTTTCAGGGATCAGGGTAGGAGGTGTCCGTCTAAGCACCTCTGGCTGGGTTCACAGGAGCAGCAGACAGGACTGCCCGGTCCAGTCTCTAGCTCACATGCACACCGGGGAAGATGGATGACCTGGGAGGGCTCAGGGCTGCCAGGGCCCGCCAGAGAGCGGGAGGCAGGAGCAGAGAGGGGTCCCAGGCAGGCCAGGAACGGAGCAGCCGCCATGCTCAAAGGCCCACCCTGAGGACCAGCCCTCCATCCCAGGCAGGATGTCCTGTGCTTCCTGCCCTGCCTTCCTGTGGCCCGAGGCACTCAGCCCCCAGTGGTCGGTGACCGCTCACGTGACTGCCCCATTCTCACCCAGTTGGCGGCGCGCGCAGTCCCGCCACTGCAGGTCCAGCAGGTCCAGGTAGATGTCCGGCAGCTGGCGCAGGGCTAGCAGCTTCAGCATGCGCGAGGTGCAGCCCTGCAGGGCGCTCTCCCGCAGCGCCCGCTCCTCCGACAGCGTGGTGGGCCGCAGCTCCACGCGGTGCTCCTGCAGCACATGGTCCACAGAGGCCGGGGGCAGCCGTGGGAAGAGCCGCTCCTTCACCAGGTGGATGGGCACAAAGATGGCGCCGGCCCGCACCACGTGGGGGAAGGGGCACTGGTGTGTGCGCACGAAGTCCTGCAGCTGGCACAGCAGCTTGCGCAGCAGGCCCTGCACGCTCTGGCAGTCCTGCCAGGCCTCCCTGCCCCAAGGCTCAGCGGTCTCAAGCCACTCCCGCAGCTTGTCAGGCGGCGAATGAGCTACGGAGTCTGAGATGGCGTCACACAAAGACGTATGCAGCCCTGCAAAGTGCTGCTCATGGGAGTCCCCCGGGGCCGGGGCTGGGGTGGAAGCTAGGGTTGGGGTGGAAGTCGGGGCCGGAGCTGGGGATGGAGCTAGAGCCAGACCTGGAGCCGGAGCCGGAGAGGCCACAGCTAAGGCTGGGGGGCTGGGCAATGCCAGGTTTAAGCAGGCCACAGGCAAGGGCTGAGTGATGATCTTGAGTCCAATGGGCACAGACGTGGGGGTGAGTGCAGGGGGTGCAGGCTCAGGGGTCGAGGTGGGCACAGAGGGGACCACGGCGGCAGGCATGGGTGCTGGCCGGAGTATCTTGAACTTCCGGAACATGAAGGCCACAGAGCTTTGGAAGTTGGCCCTTGGTGTGGCCTCTGTGCTCACTGGTAGCCCTGGGGTGCCCGTGACTGGGCTTTTCAGGCCTGGTAGATCTGGCACCATGTCCACCATGGGCCCGGCAGAGACCGTGTCCTCCCCTGCACCCTGCAGATTCAGGGTGGCGCCCTCCACATCCGGCACACCTGTAGGCTTGGTGTGCACGGCGGGACCAGGAACCTTCTCTGTCACAGGCTTCTTCACGCTCAGGTCCAGGGCCACCTCTTCCCTCAGGGAGCAGCACGTCCCCATGGAGGCCTCCTGGGCAGGCAGAGGCCCTGGGCAGTCACGGCCATGGCTCTTGAGGGGGGCTGGGACTTGGTCCGGCTCGGAGTCAGGTGCCTGCACATCCAGGTAGCCCCGGTAGGGGGCCAGGCTGAAGACATTGTCAATCACGGGCATGGGTGGAGAGCTGGGTGGACGTGGGCCCTTGTTCTGGGGACGGGGCCGACGCTCCTGGGCGCAGGGGGGTAGTGCGGGCGGCGTGCTGGGAACTGGACTGTCTCGGATGAGGATGGGGGCTGAGAGGTGCTCCTCCGGCCTGGGCCGGGACTGGGACTGCTCTTTCCTGCAGCTGGACAGCCATGTCTTCTCCTCCATTGCCCGCGCCGCTTTCCCAGCGGCCCTCAAGTGCTCCAAGTGTGGCTGACTGGCAGGCACAGACTGGCATTCCCGCTGGAAGGCCCGGGGTGGCAGCGCGGCCCGCACACTGCCTTGCGGGGGCGGAGTCCCTCCAAGCCCCGGGGAGGCTCCATAGAGAGAGGGGTCGTCTTGGGCGTGAGGAAAGCTCAGTATCTGAGGCGGGAAGTCCAGGGGACATCGTGGAGCAAGAGGTGGCTCCGGCTTGAAACCTGGAGAGGGTGCTGGGAGGGGAGCAGCGGGGTAAGGGTAAGGGTCTAGTCCCACGGGGGGCACATAGGGTGTCTGGGCTGCCTGCTGCCTTAGGTAGGAGCTGCCTAACCCACCAGGTGGGTACCCAGCCACCTTGTGGGCTCCCAAAGGTTGCAGTGGTAGCAAGGTGTTATATCCACCCTGCTTCTCTGGGTGGCGGTAGGCTGGTGGGCAAGGCAGGGCCTGTGGGCCATGAGGCAGCGGGTAGTGGGTGGGTACTGCATCCTGGCAGGCTGGCCCCAGAGGCTGGTTCAGCGGAGTCCAGGGATTGGAGGGGGCCTCGGGCATTGCTTGCTTGTGGTCTCCAGAGTAAGGGGCTGGCAGGAAGCCCGTACTGTGGACGGTCCGATACTTCTCCAAGAAGGCCTGGCACGGAGAGAAGCCCATGGAGGAGTCTTTGCCAGATGGCTCGGCTGATAGCCCATGCAAGAAGGTACTGTCCAGAGGCTGCCCTTTGCCAGGAGCCGGGGCCAGAGGGCAGGGTGGGTCAGCAGGGGGCAGCAGGGACCCTGTCACCAGTGTCCAGTCAACATCCAGCGGCCTCTTGGCTGCCCCTTCATTCAGGCAAGTTGAGAGTCCGTAACACAGAGGGCTTCGGTAGACGGGTTTGGGGGCCGCCAGAGGTGGGCCTGGGTAGGGCTGAGCCCGGGGGCTGTAGGGCAGGAACTCCATAGGATTGGCATCTTGGCCCTTCTCGGAGCCTTCTCCTGGTGGCCGGTAGAGCAGGCAATTGGACAGCAGACCTTCTGTCCGAAGTGGGGGTCCTGCCATGCTGGTGGGGTACAAGGGTGGATATGGGGTCCAGGATGCCAGCCGCTCAGATCCTGCTTTGGGAGCACCTCCCACGGGGCAGGAAAAGTAGGCACCCTTGTATCCACAGGGGTCCTGGATGCCAGCAGAAGGGAGCAGGCTGGGGCCAGGCCCCGAGTCAGCCTCTAGGCGGGACACCTTGCCATATACCATGGGGCCCAGGGTCCCCATTGGCCGCTTCTCTGCCATCACAGCAAAGGTTTCTGGGCCTCCGGCCCTGCTACTGTACTGCTGACCTGGGGGAGAGAGGCGGGTGCATCAGTGAAATGTCTGGACAAGGGCCTACTGCAGCCACAACACCGTATCCAACACCGTATTCAGCTGCAGCTCCTGCTGGTTCCCTGCCACCCCAAGAACTTGGCACTCAGGAGATGCACCAAGAAGCCTACCACTAAGGCTTGCAGGCATGCATGCCCGGATCGTAGATAATACAAGGGCTGCCAGCAGGTTTGTTGTTCTGCTGCAGAACCCTTTGCTTAACCTCTTGGCAGCAGACCTACACATCACACAACCCACGCTCCCAAAGCCCCTGGAGTCCAGTTTGCCTCCACAGGGCCCCCAATCCCTCGCCTTGGGGGTTTCAGGTTTTTCAGGGTGCAGTGCAGCCACACTTCCTACTTTTATAGATGAAGAGCCATACGGAGAGCTCAGAGCCGCCATAAAGAGGGGATGGGAAGCCCAGTGCCTGCCTCTCACTGCAGGCTCCCTTCTCAAGATACCACGGTGGTTGCAAGGGCCTACTGCAGCCACAACACCGTATCCAAACACTGTCTACAATACACAATGTCCTGTGACCCGCTTTGACCTGCCAGTCTGCCAATAACAACAACCAACGTGGTGGAGGTCCCGAGGCCCAGAGCCAATGCTGAGCTATCAGGCTTGGCCCTTGAGGACAGCATCTGTCTGTACGAGGCGTCCCACCTCCCACCCCAGCAGGAGGGGGGTCAAGGCTGTCCAGCAGATGGCGCTGTGGGGACAGCAAAAGGATCCCCAGGACCCAGGAGAGAGCCCAGATGTTCAATCTCAGCGCTGCAGGTGGGCTATTCCGTGGCACCGAGGGGACAATGAGATGGAGAATCGAGGGAGGGCAGGCCCAGGGACCCAGGGGCCAGAGCCAGCAACTAGTGTCTTCAAAGGAAAACCCGAGTTCTACAGAAAAGACCCCAAGGCAAACAAGGATGGGGACCCAAGCCCAGGGAGGTCAACGGTGGGCCTGCCTCCACCTCTAGACTCCTAACGCCCCCCAGGTGCTACAGGTCTACCAACCATTAGCCCCCTTTCCTCCTCCTCCTCCTCCCTTCTAGCTGGTGACCAATGGCAGCCACAAGCTCAGAATCAGACCAAAACAAATTGGGGACAGTAGCAGCCAAAAGTAGTATGGGGGCCCCAAGGCCACCCCAGCCCCTACAGGTCTCTTTTAAGAAGCTGTCCTATCTCCTGGCCAGATTCTGCCATCCCAGGCCAGCCTCATGGAGAGGTTGCTGAGCAACCTGGAGTACAGCTCCCACCCATTCCAGGGGGCTTTGCATGAAGTGAAATGGCTTTCAGGGTGTTGAGCATCCCTGCTGCCCTTGAGAAGGGCTGGGTTAATTAAGTGCTGGGTTAATTAAGTGCTGGCTCTAGTCTCAGCACCCCACCCCCCAGCTCCCTGGGGTCTGAGCCAGCCCAGGGAGTTTCCCCCACCCCCACCCCACCCCCGTGCCCTTTGCCCTGGAGACTTCCTGAGACTCTCCCTAGACAGCCAGCCAATAGAGGCCAGGTCACTTGGGATCCTCAGGAGTCTTCGTGGGAAGGCTAAGGGCTCTAGGGGACAGCAGACGGCTGAGGGGCAAGGGGGTGCCCTTATCTCCCCATGCAGGCAGGAGAACCAGGCCTTTCCCAATCCAAGATGCAGGTCGGTCCTCCCTTTTCCTGGGCACGTACACATGACGAAGGACCGCAAGAGC